AGGTGATCTCGTGTTCGTATTTTAGCCAATCAACGCTCAGAAAGGGTTGTCCGAATAGAAATCCATTTTGATGTATTCAGTCAATTATATCTTTCGTTATTCTTTATGAAACTGGTTGAAATTTTGTAATTATGTTTGGTTATTAGAACTATAGCTCTGACAAGAATATGGAATCGAAATAAAGTATATAACAGGAGATATTCAGTTGTTTTAATCACAAAATGGATTTCTATTTGACAACTAGTACCAGTACTTTTCCGCGTATCAAGATAATCTGGAATTGCATGCACTTTGTTCTGTTATTTTAGTTCAGTATAATTGTGATTCAAATTGTCAACCGTAAGTTACTTTTATGAGATTATTATTATCGATTTTTAAATTCTCCTATCGTGTATACAGTAACGCTGCGCGCATGCTTTTACGATGCTAAATTTGGGAGAAACGATCTGATAATACTCAGGGTTTTCAGTTCCGCTAACCCCGAAACCTGCTGCAGCAAAAACCCTGACACAGGTTGGTCACGTGGCACCCAGATTTTAGTATGTGTACGCAAAGTATGTGTTGAAAGACTCTGAACTATCATTCACTATATTTGTTTAGATTTGATAATTAACAGGTAAAATTCATTTATTATAAGTAAATATAGCATTTTCCAAACGTCATGAAGTGAACATCTTGTCAAACGGGAACGTCCAATTTAGCGGAAAGAAATCATAATGAAATAGAGAAATAATAATTATTTTAAATGGTAGTAAATAAGAGGATACATACCAACACATCTTGCTCCATCAAAAATGTAGCCTTTCTTGCACAAACATTCCACACCTGCATCTTCCGAATGTCTACAAGAGTTTTTACCCCATCCACCATGAGAGCAATCCCAAATGTACCATTCTTCACCATTGCACGTAACATTGCTAAGAAGGATGGGACCACTTCCTTCACCATAATGAGCTCCATCCTTTACTGCATTCGCTCCAGTGAAACCCAGCTGACGACAGACAACATCACTGTCGGTAATGTCCCAGAAATGATCGCAGATTGTACCCCAGCCGAAATTTGGATTGAAGATCTCCACTCGTCCGCTGATGTTGTTGCCTGAACCACTCAGTCTTATTTGTAGATCAGAGATTTCTGTAAATAGAAACTGAATACACACATAGGAAGAGTTGAATGGCTTGAATCCCGTAATTTGAACGCAACAACTTCATCCCGACATATGGCAATTCATTCAATGTAACACTTACAGTTCTAATGCAGTCAAATGCCGAACTTGAATATCAGAACGATTTTAGTTTTAAAGTTTATACATAGTTTTAACAGTTATAGTTATGTACTCATTCATCTTTGTAAAAATGGTTTTATAAATTTTTTAGACTCATTAATTCAGTGTAATGTTGCAAATTAATTATTATTATTATTCTACGTAATGCCTTTATATAAAACCTCTCCAAATTATTCCATAAAAGAACTATGCAACTATGCCAACATGCTATAGCCACAATTCCAACAAAAACTTCTATTTTGTTCTAGTGGCTAAACTTACACAGCCTTTGACATGTTAAGGTTAATATCGCAATCAATATCTGATTCGTAAATTAAAAAATCAAACTTTTTAGAAAAAGTTATATCAGTCCAAACACCTATTATATCCAAATATTTCTGGCTGTATTTGTACCACAAAAATCTTTCAATAATTATACGAAAGATAATAATGTAATGGCAAAAATGTGTCGCCCAGCACGATTTGTCCGTGGTTTAAAATACATATGCCAATAAAATCCACAACATTCGTTTATGATTGTATTGTTGGATCCTTGTTGGAACCTTGCCTTCAGCGAACATGCCGGAAATATTTAGAAGCGAATCAGCCCTTTTAAACAACCGTTCTGCATGTTTATCACCTGATAACACGAATGTAATTTCAAGTACGCCAGCTATTAGTCGCTGTTCCTTTTCAAATTTGAACAGCGAATGATTCACCAAGTCTGATCTTAAGCTGAAGGACGCGGGAAATAGTTTTGGATGACTCGCTCGGTGAACTGAAGTGTTTTGTTTCTGCGATATTTCATTTAATAGTAGATGTAATTGGACAAGTTCTGGTGTTAAGACATTGTGTGGCCTAAATAATAAGAGGACCAGTATTATTTACTACGACTCCTATGGTGAACATGTACGTAAATAAACTATAGGGAACTAAAAGATATGAAATATTTTGTGGGAGACGATAAAGGCGATGATATAGGAGCCAGAGACTGAAAATAAGCAGGAAAGGCAACCGTTTATTGTGTTTCGGCCTAACAGTCTTCTTCAGCAGGTTAATTTTAAGCGGGGTGTTGGTAGAATTTGTACAGGAGAAGAAAAGAGAGTTTAGGAGTTTAGGATAATAATGTGAAACCAAGAGAAAAACAAATTATTACAAAGTTATTGAAAATATCCAATTACACAGCAACAAAAATGAGTGGTGGAAAGATAGTGAAAAATAATATACTGATAACTAAACGTTACTAGTTAAATTATCTTAATATGGTGAATGGACTTAAATGACAGGAATAGGAACGTTTTGGCAATGAGTGATCCGTAAGGAATAAAAATTATTACCCCCTGCAGGGTTTGATTGTAAAACTAGTTTACTCAAACTCTTCATGAATTTGATTCTTCAATTAGATTTCCTATACCGGTGTCCCAGGGTACGAAATTCCTAGTAATATCGCCCTTCGGGGGGGGGGCAAAATTCCTATGCAATTCACCCCCTTTAGGAAATTCGCCCCCCTTTAGTAACTTCACTTTCCTTTAGGATTTTCGTCCTCCGTTAAAAATTTCGTTCTTCCCAACCGTTGCATGGGTTAATTATTACATCAATGCCTTTAGTCATTTGAAATCAATATCAATTCAAAATTGTTAAAAATACAAATTTACAATTACATGTATCGAAAGCGCTTACAGTAGCTCAATAGCACTTATGACGCATGGCTAGAAATATGCGTCAGCCAGCGGTTTGTAATGCAGGCGCATGCACCGTCAGTACGTCATGTTAATGAACATATTGAAAAGCCGGAAAGTACGTAAAGAAACGCTCTTTAAATGTATATGCCCAACAAAGACATGCTTCCTTCTCGTCGGCAAACACTTCAAACTCCTTTATATTATCCTGTGGAGCGACTGATTAGTTGTCGGAAAAGAAAAAGAACGGTAAGTGAGAACTCCTCGCTTGTTTTACTAGACAAATGACTTTAAATGACTTTTTAAAACTGTTGGACAATGGACAATAGCTAAATGATAAGTAAATCATGTCAGTGACATAATTATGTCCAACATTTAATATTTTATGTCACTAGCTGATATTATCTCACCTTTATAGAATATGAATCACGAACAAGAATATGAAAAAAAGCAAAATTTCGATGCGCTTGCATCGCGTTTTAGCTAGCGAAGTAACGAGGCGATTTTAAAATGGAAAATAGAGGGAAAATATACCATGCTTTCCTCTACTTGGGAACAGTATTGATATAATATCTTTAGATAAAATTGTGATAAAATTCATGGGGAGAACAATGTGTCTCGATTACGATTTAT